TATTCCGCCGCGCCCCCCCCCCCCCCGCCTACTTGTCTCTTTTCTAATCTGATCAGTCCCGGTGTTTTAATCTCTCCTCATATGGAAGCTGTTCCATGCCCCTAATCATTTTTGTTGCCTTTTTCCGTACCTTTTCCAATTCTAATGTATCTTTTTTTAAGATGGGGTGACCAGAACGGCACGTACTATTCAAGGTGTGGGCGTACCCTGGATTTATTTAGTGGCATTATCATATTTTCCATTTTATTATCTGTTCCTTTCCTAATGGTTCCTACCATCCTGTTCGATTTTTGTCTGCCGCTGGACATTGAGCGGATGTTTTCAAAGAAATATCCATGATCTCTGTGAGATGTAACAGCTAAGTTAGACCCCATCATTTTATATGTGTAGTTGGGATTATGTTTCCCAGTGGGCCTGACTTTGCATTTATCACCTTTGAGCTTCATCTGCCATTTCGTCGCCCAGTCTAGTGAGATCCATTTGCAACTCTGTGCAGTCTGTCTTGGACTTACCTGTCCTGAGTGATTTTACGTCTAACGTCTCTGTGAGCATCTGCCGTGCACATAGCAGTGCTGATGTGGGGTATCTGTTGGAAGGGGAAGTGAAAGTCCTGTGCAGTGTGTTATCGACAGTGTTGTGAGCAGTAGCAAGGTGGACAGGAACGCACAATTTTTTCCCCTTAGCTTCTTATCTCTGCTAAGGTTTCGGGCGGCTGGGGCATGTCTCAATACCACTCGTCGTAGTTTTCCTTCGCTGCTATAATATTTATTGCCCTGGTTCATGAAGGTCTCACAGTCCTTCAGAGCCCCGCTGTCCTCCGAGCGTCCCCTGGCGAGACCGCGACATTCAACTGCTCCTTCGAGAACAGACTGGGCAGCATAGCCAAAGCGACCTGGACCAGAGCGCCTGGAGATAGAGTCGAACTGGATTCTGCCCATCCCTTCTACAGCGGGCGGCTCAATGTGTCCCACCTGGATCTGCTCCGGAAAGGGGAGGCCACGCTGACCCTGTCGGAGCTGGAGCAGCGGGACTCTGGTCTCTATCAGTGTCAGATCAGCATCCACCGGGGAGAGAGTGGGACAGGAGCAGGCACCGAGCTGCAGGTGATGGGGAGAAACCAGAGTGACACAGGTGAGGTGGGGAATGGGGGCACGGTGCCTTCCCCCTCTCTGGCCCCAGAGCAGGGGACTGGCTGGCTCAAGGGGCTGTGAATCCCCTAACACTCCTCTCCATCGCCCAGATAAAGTACCAGCCCCCTCAGGGAGCTGCTCCTGGGAGCTCCTGTACCAGGTCGCCATCGCCCTGGGGCTTCTTCTCATCATTGGTCTGGCGGCCACCCTCCTCCTGAAGAGATGCCAAGGTACCAAACCGGAGCCTTCCCCCCGCTAACCTCCTGCCCCATGGGCCAGGACCTCTGCTACTGAACACACCCGAGCGGCCGACTGTCCGCTGTGGTCCATGCTGGGCTGTCTGTCCATATATCCATCTCCCCCCACATCCTTCTTCCCCCGTCCCTAGATCTCTGCAGCTTCCCTCTTCACCCCACACTCTCTCTCTCACTCCTCTGTTTTAATATTCCTTCCTTCTCCCTTTTTCCGCAGTGCCGCCCCACTCGCAGCCCCGCCGGCGGCAGCTGAAGGTGAGAAAATGCAGGCGGGGCTCTGTTCCAGCCAGTGCTTGGGTCTGGTCTCTGGGTGCCAATAAAGACTGGTACAATACAGTGAGGAAAGAGAATCCAGGAGTCCTGGCTCCCAGCCCTCACCAAACCCCACTCTCTTCCCAGAGCTGGGGATAGAACCCAGGAATCCTGGCTCCCAGCCCCCACTTCCCTCCCAGAGCTGGGGAGAGAACCCAGGAGTCCTGGTTCCCAACCCCTCCAATCTGGGGTAACACTGTGGGATTTGCTCCCTGGGAGTTGCCTTAATTGGCCAGAATTAGGAGACCAGATCTGGGGTGACGGCGTCCTCATTGTGTGTCTGTCCAACACAGGGCCAGGGCAGCCGGGAGGCCGTGGAGAGCGAGAGCCTGCACTACGCAGAGATTACAGTCCAGACCCCAGGACGCAGGGAACACACGTCCAACCACGCCCAGCGACACTGAGTCCCTCCGCACCCAGCACTACCTGAGTCCCTCACACTCAGCGCCACGCAGCCACGAGGAAATTCCCTACACTACGAGACCCTCACATGGTTTGAGGGACAGCAGAAGAAAACTATCGGCGTGAAGGTCCATGTGAACCCCAACAAAACCCAACTAGCCCTCTCTACGGCAGGGAATAATCTACTAGGGCATGGTCTTACCCTCAGGAAATGCCTTCTCCGGGGTCTCCTGAAGTGTAACTATATCACGTCCCAGTGCGTTATTTCCCTGTCCTCTCTGGAGTGATTGCAACGCCTCCCCATGGAGCATCACCAGGTGGGGTTAATTAACGCAGCATCTGGTCCCTCTTTCTAACTGAGCTCCAAGAGAAACACTAGCCCACCTCATCATCGTGTGGGCGGTGGAATTGGTCTATGTGACCAACGTGACAGGGCCAGCAGGCCGGAGTTGCTCAGAGAAAGGTATTTGTTTGTTTAAAAATTAAATAATTTCTTTGTGTGAAAAATTGTCTATTTTCAGACTTTTTTGAAAAAATGTGTTGGGTAAAAACTTTTCCTTTTCTCCATCACTTCCCTCTTCTCTTCAGTCCCCTAGTGATGTTCCAATAACTTACAATTATTTTTTAAAATTTGCTTTTTAGAAAATCATCCTTTTTCCCCATGAAAAAATTTTCCTAAAGAATTGATATTTTGTTTTAGAACATCATTTTTTTCCCCAGTGAAAATATGTCATTTTATCCCTGAAAATTGGGACACTTCTCTCTCCCCTCCCCCCCACACACAAATTTCATGAAAAAAATTTTTTTTCTGAAAATGTTTTTTCCCCTGAAAATTGGAATTTTGTCCACCATTAAAATGTTGTTTTTTAAATGCTGAGTGCAGGAAGAAGAGGAAAAGAGAGAAAAAGAAGGAACTAAATAAAAATCACTGGGGAAAATTGACCAACAATGTAGAGACGTAAGTGAAACACGGGTGGGAAATTGGTCTCTGAATTTTTCCCTTTGGGTATTTATCATTTTTGTGGGAATTTTGTCCCTCCCCCACTTTTCTCCCCTCCTCACCTATCACCTCCCCCATCGTACCTGACCTGGGGAAGGGGACTCACTCCCTTTCTGATACCAGCCCCAAACACACCCCGGAACCTTCCAACGCGGTTCCTGTTTCCCACCCGGACCCCATTAAGAACTATGGGCAAGTCCTTCTTTATATTAGTTGGGTTGATGTCACTTCCGGTATGCTTCCGCCCTCACTGAAATCCATTTCCGCTGTCCCCCTCCCTTTGAAGCGTTAATCCCAGTTTCACCCGCCCCCTTTTAAACCCTGCGGGACCCACCACACCCCGGAACCCTCCCCCTCGTGTTTCCCATGCCGACCTTCGAGAGCGTTGCACCCAACTGCGGGCAAGTCATCTATGGCTATAGTCCTGACGCCATATCTGGTCCACTTCCGCCCTGCCTTGGGCCCACTTCCTGTACTTGCTTCCGTCCCCTCCCACCTGCTCTCCTTGGAGCGATTTAACCCCTGCAGAACCAAACACATCCCGGAACCTTCCCTTGCGGCCTCCTGTTTCCCAACGGGACCCTATAGGCCATGGCACCAAGTCTCTGGGTAAACGCCCCATTGTGGCAGGCGGCGTGACGCAACTTCCGCTTCACTTCCGGCCGCGCCAGCCTCCCCCCGCCCCCCGGGTTTCCCTTTCCCCGCCCTCCCCCTTTGTTGCCTGGTGAACGACTCATCGGCCCCCTCCCTCGCCACATCGGGCGGAATGAGGTCACTTCCGTCCCGCTTCTGCCCTTCCGTCTGCCCCACTTCCGGTCCGCGCTTTTTCCCTTCCCCCTCAGGTGTCGCGCTCAGCCATCGATTAACAGCCCCGGCCAGCGGCCCCGGGTGGGTAGCGCGGCCCCGGGGGGAGGATGGGGGCGGGGAGGAAGAGGTGGGGGCCCGGGGGCTCTGGGGGTCGGCTGGGGGGATCTGGGGGGCAGGGACGGGCTACGGGGACATGGGGGATCTGGGGGGCAGGGACGGGCTACGGGGACATGGGGGATCTGGGGGCAGGGATGGGCTATGGGGACATGGGGGATCTAGGGGGGCAGGGGATGGGCTATGGGGGACATGGGGGGATCGTGGGGGGGCAGGGGATGGGGCTAGTGGGGGACAGTGGGGGGATCGTGGGGGGGCAGGGGACGGGCGTATGGGGGACAGTGGGGGGATCGTAGGGGGCGAGGGACGGGCGTACGGGG